ATTTTGGTGTCATCAGCGAATTTAAACAGGTTACTTTCCACCCCATCATCCAGATCGCTGATGAAGAAATTGAACAGCGCAGGCCCCAGGACCGAGCCCTGGGGGACTCCGCTACCCACCTCCCCCCAGGTCGAATATGACCCATCCACCACTACCCTCTGAGTGCGACCCCTCAGCCAATCTGCAATCCATCTGACTGTGTAGGCATTCTTGTACAACCTACATGCTAAGTATTTTTATTTGAATTAAGTATCTTACCCTACCTGATTTCTCCAAAACAAAAATACCAGTACTTTTGGCAAGCGAAAGAAACACAAAACCACGTAAGTTATCAGGGGCTAGCGATTCGACTCATTAAAGCAAACAAACAAGCAAACAAACCACAACTATACTAGCTTTAGGTTCTTTTCAGTCATCGTGAACTTCCTGCTTTGAGCAGGAGGTTGGATTAGACCAATGTTTCCCAACCAGTGTGCCGCAGCGCACTGGTGTGCCATCAGACATGACCAGGTGTGCCACGGAATTTTGGAAAAGTCACACAAATAAATGAATAAATGAACGCTCCGTCTGTAATACTCCTGGGGGGCATGGCTCCAGCCAGTACCAGGCACAACCCCCTCCCCAACTTTGTGGAGCAGCGGCAGCATGGGGCAGGGGATAGCGACTGCATTTTCTGTTGGGGGCAGGGGGAGGGGGCAGCGTGATGCAATTTTTCATCTAAGTGTGCATTGGGTCGGAAAAAGTTGGGAAACACTGGATTAGATGACCTCCAGAGGTCCCTTCCAACCCTAATTTTCTATGATTCCCTTTACATAAAAAAAGAGAGATTCCAATGCTAGTTCAAGAGTTTGCTTTTCTCAATCAGGCATTCTTAGAAGTTTCAACCTTGCTTACCTTTAACTTGTTTAATGCTCTTCAGTGCATATTTCAGTGTTGTCAGGACACTAGATTTGCCTTTAATTCTCTTTTCAGATGGGAGGTGTGCTTTTAGCTCTTGCAATGTTTTCATCAATTCCTTTTGTGTTTTGGCTTTTGTGGACTGCTCACTGCTACAAAATTAAAATAAAGATTTTCATGTTTAAAATATTACACATTAGAGAAACCCAAAGCCTTTTGACATTTGTAACATAACACCAAATACCTTGTTAGAGCTACCCTAATTAGTTTCATAAGTATATGGCATCAAAAACATTTTGGGTTCATAATAACTAGTTACATCACCAAGTTTACCAAATTTAAATTGGCTCATTGTTGCAAACAAAAATAAAATGTTAAACATTAAGTGTAATGCATTTTAAATTTACCTGCATCCACTGGTAGACTGATTATGTTCAGAGTTTGCAATCATCAGGTTAAATGCATTTGAGCTGCAAGAAAAACTCAGGGTGTTAAATAAAGAGTCAGGTGCTGTCTTTAGGTTTAGCTTTAAAATAAACAGTAGAAAATTAAAAAGTTTATGTATACCAAACCAAAGCTTATACCAGGTAAACTGGCAAAAGGAACAGCTTCAGTCTATGGTACATTATGGTCTATCACAATTTAGTAGGCAATAAACGTGGAATTCTAAACTAGGCAAGTTTGTCACTGACATCATTAAATGGAAAAGTTTATCTTGGCTTCATGTCTTACTTCCCCATCATGATAAAAGTGATTCACAAGCTCTTAAAAAAAGAAAAAAAAAAAAGAAAAGAAAAGAAGCCACTAAGTAACAATATCCCTGCAGTTAACCAACTAGACATATTGGCAAGAAAACAGATTTTTGAGAGGCAAGTGTAATTTGAATTTAACACCCTGTTCTGATACAGATTAATATTAGATGCAGTATTTCAACATTTTAGCCTTGGGTTTAATACGCATATAAAATCATATTCTGCATTTTAAATTCAGGATTAAGACATGGAGAGTGGAAATAAGCCATCAACAACCTTCTTTCATGGATCTATTTGCTTTAAGCAGGAAATATAAATACAAACCTTCTTCAGTATATTTCCAGACAGCGGCAACATGCAGGAGGTGCACGCGCACCTCCTGAGAGCGCCGATGCACCCTCCTGACCAGCCGTGCTCACCACTTAGGCGATGGGTGGGGGGAGGGCAGGCAGGAGCACCAGTGCCCCCTTGCAAGCACCAGCCAGGGAATGGAGTGCTGTGCTGCTCCCAGAAGTGGCTGCAGTGACTTCTGGAAGCAGCTGCACCAATCGGTCGTATCACAACTGGCCGCAGAGGACCTCTACCCAGTCACAGGCTGTGGGGAACCCCCCCACTCCAGCCCTGGTTGAGGGGACTGACTGAGGGGGACCCCCCCCCCCGGGGTCACTGACACATGCCCCCCTGACTAAGGCAGCACCAGTCACCCATGTTTCCAGCAATATTTTCATTAGTTTTTCTGCACTGAAGTTACCATACAGTCACATCATCCTGTGTCCAAAAGGAACTGCAGTACTATTTTCTCAAATTAGAAAGAACTAAAAGAATACAATATATTACCTGCCTATTATAGTGTGAAATTGTGAAAGGAAAAAAAATAATAATGAATGTATACAAGGATAAAGAAGACTAAGCATACAAATACAGCAGAACAAGTTACATGGCAGATATTAATCTAACAGTAGATTATACTGTAAGACTTAACATAGAAAAAGAATGGAGATTAAATTGAAATACTACCTTTTATGACAGTCTAAAGATTCCAAAAGCATTGCTGAATCTTTCCCATTTTCATCTGATTCATTGCCATGAGAATCATGCCCACTGGAGTAGTTTTCATTTGTGTCATTTCCACTAAAGTCATTACCACTAGAACCACTGCTCATCTCAATATCCTCCTGAAGAGCATCCTGATGTTGTTCAGGCTTTGTTTGAATATTAGTCTCCTCAGCAAGCATTTGACTACAGTTATTTGCAAGTTCAGAATATCCATTCATTTTGTATTATTGCTTTTCTGAGACTAAGAAATATATTTAAATGATTTCAAGTTGTTGCTCACGGTTCTTCTCCCTCAGTACTACAGCAGAATTCCTGATCTTAATACATCCCACTGAACATGCAGAAATACTTTCAGAGATCAAGAATCAATCAAGTCATATTCATACTTTTTCTCTGCATACAAGATTTGCAGTCTTGGAACGTGAATCCAGGAGCCTAAAAAGGGAGGAGAAAAAAAGTAAAACTAGGTTGAACACAGTTGGCTGTAACATTCAACTTCCTTTAAAATTAAATAATGTATTTACCTGAATATAAGAGCATCCTGAATATAAGATAACCCCCATAATTAGATTCAATATAGGGAAAAGGTATATATTTGTTATAGTTTTCCATGCATACAATTTCACTACTGAAATTTGTCTTGAATTTGTCTCCCTCCCACTGCTTTAGAAGGGAAAATAAAAATCGGGGAGGAGAAAGAGAGAAGGGGTCAGGGGGCCCCCCTTGTGCTCTACTCCCCCCAGCTTTTTGCCCCTCCTTACTTTCAGACACTGCTCTCCCTGAACACATGGAAGTGAGGGGCAAATCTGAAAACACTGACTTTGAAATAAACGTGCTTCTAGTATTTAGTTCATCCAGAATTGATGCATTTTTACCTTTTTTGAAACTGCTACAAGTTTTAGCACAGGTACTCCATAACATATTTAAGCTTTTGCATTTTTGCATCTACACATATGTAAAGACAAATTATATGTGATGTTAGTCCAAAGCTGAAAGGCTCATGATTTACCACACAGTTCAGCTGGGATGGGCCACAGCAGAGTCAACAGCATTTCCAGTCATAGTGACCCCACAGGTCATCACTACTCAATATGTGTGTGTAACCATACTCGTTTAAAGGATCCATGTGCTACTTATCGCGCCACTCATGACTGAAACTTGATGTTTTAGTCACGAGTCCTGGGACCCTCCAAAATATATATGCAAATGAGGTGCAGGACAACCTGGAATGGCTCTACCTCATGGCAGGTGCAGCCACACTAATCAATCATACTCAACAGGCTGAGAGAAGGGCTGATACAAGGATTCTGAGTGAATTGTTTGGGGCCCTATTTGGAGATGTTTGCCAGACGTTTAAAGCTAGTGAAGCAATAGGTATCATGAGAAATTGGAAAGAAAGGTACAGTTCAGCTGTAGAAGTCAAGAGGAAGTTGATGTGTAATCACTGTAGTGTCTCACCATGACATGAAAGAGTTAGAGCTGAGGGAGACTGAGCACAATGGGCACTACCACACAGCTTCTTCAGATAGACTGCATGGACCTATCTTTGTGGAATCCAGAGCCATGTGCATTTTCTTTCAGGGATCCAGAATGGAGGTAGAAGCAAGGAAGACCCTATACAAGAAGAAATGGACATGAGGCAGGGGGATGCCAGACATCCACCTGTTCCTGCAGGCGTGGTACACAAGCCAGATCTGCAAGTTGGTATCTGGGCCAGAGACCAAAACAGCCTGTCTCATCAAGTATTTTGCAGGTCACCTCCTGAGACAGTGGCGGGTATATGCACCAACCAACAGGAAACCAGGGACCATGGAACACCCCTGGTTCTATAGGGTCCTGAATGAGTACAGGTTACAAAAGGAAAGCCCGGTGACTATGTCAACTATAGAAGAGACAGGAGGCAGGCTATTGACTGTAGAGCTGCTTCCCAAAAATGACTGCCAGGCTGTCTGGGACCAGATATTCCACAAGGACCTACAAAAGGAGCACAGAGAATTGAACTGGCTAATGGCTCACTGCGCACTCTCAATGAGGGCATGGAGACACAGAGGGGCAAGGGACTTGACCCACCTGCCCCAGGGAAAATCTGCCAAGGTACAACAGAGACCATCGACCACCTCCTATGGCTCTGTCCCTACATCAATGGTGTGTGGGAAAAGGTAAACTGGCTCCGCAAAGAGGTGACATGAGTCAGGCTGATGACAAGGGAGGCAGCGCTGTATGGACATTTACTAACCAACCTGCTTCCACCAATTTGTGTCCAGCATCAGCAACGCCCCATGAAACTGCAGGCACCTACTGATGTACAGACACATGCAGCTTGAGGAAACAGACCACATTAAAATGTTTCTGAGGGAACTTCAGTCCAACTACCCGAAATCAGTGGGAGAGGATGGAGAAGATGCAGCCAACTCCACCTAGCAAAAGGGACACTCGGCAAAGGCTGTTCAAAGATACTCCGAGAGGCGGAGGGGTCAGGGATAACGAAGGCGACAGCAACATAACCAGACCTTGAGACAGCGATGATGATAGCAGCAGTGGCAGCAACAGCAAAAGTGACAGCAACAAGGACAGTGAATGAGCTGAGAACATAAACCCCAATACCGGGGCGAGAACTAAGAGATTGTGTTAGGGAAAGGACTGTGGGAACATCTATTTTAATGGGTGTGCAGGCTTTAAATGAAGTTTAAGGTATGAAGGAAAGCTTATGCTGTGTATCTATATCTCTATAGAGATCTCTATGGATACAACTATCTAGAATCATTCTTAAAAAAAATTTGTGGAAGGTTCTGATCAGTATCTTGGCCTTTTTGGCAAAGATCATACCAGATGAACACTTAAGAAATATTTGGGGAGTACTACAGAATGGTATATGATGGTGAAGAAGATGAGAGAAGTCTTCAGGAAGGAAGGCTGAAGATGTGCACAGAGAAGAACAAGAGAGCTCAGAGAGCTGCAAAGAAAGATGCAGGAGCTGCTAAAATAAGTTGCAGAAGGAAGACAGGTATGAGAAGAACTAATGCAAGAGATAAAAACTTGGGTTAAAAGAAAAGATGAGAGAAAGTATTCTTAACACAAGAACCCTGTGTAGGAGAAAATGAAGAGTGGTTCCAATATTTTGACAAGACGAAAGGCAAGAAAGAGCTTAAAGTAATACAGGAAGGTGATGGTGCCCGGGGGAAAAGCAGGGGGAGGTGTTGGAGGTGATGAGATTTTATGAAGAGCTATACCAGAAGGAAGAAGTAGACAAGAAGATGAAAGATTTCTTGGAAGAGACTAAAAAAAAATTAGAGGATGAAGAAGAAAAGATGATGGAAGAAAAGATGAAAGAAAAGATTAGGAAGTGGAGGAGTGTTTAGAAACTTTTAAAAAGAGGGAAATCACCAGGAGCAGATGGACTGCCAGTGGAATTTTACAAGGAATTTTGGGCATGGGTAGGGAGGGATATAGTGGATGTTTTTAAGGAAATGGGAGAGGCAAGGAAAGATTTTACAAGAGGCATTGCGATCTTACTCTTTAAGAAAGGGGAGAAGAAACTCCTGAAAAACTGGAGTCCAATTACACTCCTTAATATGAAGTATAAAGTTAATGACCAAGATGCTGGCTTTGAGGACGAGGAAAAACCTCCAGAGGATAATAAATGGAGACCAAGTATATGCTGTACCAGGTAGAAAGATCTCTGAAACCAGAGTGATCAGAGATACAGTCCCAAATTGGACAGAGGAAACCAAAAACAATTATAGCAAGCCTAGACCTAAAAAAAAAAAAAAAAAAAGTATACAACAGAGTGAATCATGATTGTGTATTCAAAGTGGTAGGAAAATGAGGTTCCCAGAGAAACTTATATGTTGGATAAGCTATTATATGGAGAAGAGTTAAGTCTAAATTAATGGGCACCTAAGGAGCTACCTTTAAAATCCATGCAGGGGTGTGACAATGGTGTCCCTTGTCACCACTATTTGTGAGTGGCATGGAAGTGTTAGCACAAAGAACAAGAAAAGACAAGGTTGTAAGTGGAGTAAAGGTACTGGGAGGAAGAAAACTAAATAGACTGAAAAGCACCATAATGGGAGCAGGGAACTGGAGGGACTTGGAGAAGTTGGGTAATATAGCACAGGAAAAGGTGATGGCAAGGTTAGAACAAATATTTTAGTTGTGGTCCGGGAAGGATACTGTCCTCTGTCAGACAAGTGGTACTGGTCAAGGCTCTGCTATTACCAATTAAATTCTACCTATGGGAACTGTAATTCCACCAACATGGCAGCAGATAGCAGAAGTACAGAGGGAAATGCATGTTCTTTTGGAATGCCAGAAGAGGAAGGTTGGCTAGATCTGAACTTTAGAAAGCAAGAGAGATCGGGGAAATGGCGGCTGCCAGACTTGGGATTGTTCTTCTATTCAAAATATGGAAGGAGAAGGGAAAGAAGCATGTATAACCCAATTTTACACAGCTGCTATTTTGAGGTAATCAGACCTCTGTGAAGAGTCCATGGGTGTGGCAACTAAAGGGGAACATGCTGACCTAGCGTGGATGGCTGTATGAAATCTTGCTGGTGAGACGCACCACACAGATGGGGCTTGACAAGCCCCAAGTGCCCAAGCAAGAGATGCAGGGAAGAAGTAAGTGGGATGTTTTTTGGGAATGTACATATGCAAAGGCAGTGTGGGGGAAAGGGTCTGCTGCTTTCTGAGCGTCACCAAAATAAACCTGCCATTAGCATTGGAGATGGTGCTATATGGACCCATATCAAAAGGGACCTGAGGAAACGTTATTAAGGACTTTATTAGCATGTATTAAAACTAGCCTATGAGAAGTAAGAAAGCTCAAGGTTTTTAAGGGTTTGAAGTTCACTTAAAGAGTGCCTGAAGCTGGGGCTGCATGAACTGAATTACTATATCAACTGGGACTAGGAAGAGATCACAGAGGAAGAGCTGGAGAAGAAGTGGAGGAAAAAGGACTAGACACACTTGTTTCACTAAACCAGAAAGGACTGATAGGCAGAGAATTTCAGGTGCTTTACTGAGGCAACAGTTTTTCATGGGGTTTTGTATGAAGAGAATATTTCTGTAAGGGTTTGTTTTTTTGTGCAAAGTTGATGCATGTTGTTTAAGGATTTAATGTATGCAGTTGTATTTTTTTATAATGTAATTGTTTTTGTGATATGAAGTCTTGGTAAAACAAGGATGCTCAATATGTGTGGCTTTGTACGTGTAGTGGTAAGTGTGTTTAAGTCTTTTTTTTTTTTTTTTTTTTATATAGATGCGCGTGTGCACAAGTTCACAGGAGCCAACAATAAAACATATTCAGTCAAAACAAGATACATATTAAGAATTGATTATTACAGAATAGTCAAAGGTAAAAAACATCCAACAGCAGTCAACTTTAAAAGTTGCAAGTTACAGTGACAAAGAAAGAGTCATGCAACCTGGAAATG